AACAAGAAAGCAGACAACTATCAAAAAATTGTGGAAGAGCTGCTCTTGAGTTTACAAGCACTTGGATGCAGAATGAGTATCAAGGTTCACTACTTACACAGTCACTTGGACGAGTTTCCAGAAAATCTGGGAGAAGTGAGTGAGGAGCAAGGGGAGCGCTTTCATCAAGACATTAAAGTAATGGAAGAACGTTACCAAGGTCGATGGGACTCGAACATGATGGCGGACTACTGCTGGAGTATGATGAGAGACATTCCAGAAGCTGTACATAAGAGATCGGCCAAAAAGAGGAAGGTTATGTAACTGTAACTTGATCTTCATACTTGCACTATTTCTACCGTACATTAATTGTGTTTTTTCACCCTTCAATGTTACATTTAAATATTATATGTGCATTAACTTTCCAATTTGATATTAACAATTTTTGGTTATAGAAAAATACAAATTATAATGCTGAAAAAATTTATGTATACATGTTTAAACCGTCAATTTTGATCCAAAAGTTTACGTTTCCCAGCAAAAGTGCAATATGGTATATCTCAAAAACCTGATGTGATAGACAAAAACCAAAGTCATATTTGGATTCTGCACCCCAAATTTACTTAAAATCCGTTTAAAAACCTTGTGCCAGAAAAATTGTGTTGACCGGTGTAATTTATGCAATTACATGCAGTAAGATTATGAAAATTACATGACATTATTATAATTGGTTTAATTTTTCACTTTATATTGATATGGCATTGCCTCCACAAGTTTGAATGTATAATATGTAAACATACCGATCCATAACTGGTAGATTGCTTCAGTTAAGTTTTGCTACGTTTACACTGGGCTAGATATGGACATCATAGTACTGTACTAGCTCTTAGAGTATAACCATGCTCCTGGACTACCGGACATTTGTAGTGGGTATGTGGGCACTGAAGAAGGGTATGAGTGCTCAGGGGCTACAATAGTTTACAGTACGTTACCATATTTTTGTTGTTTCGACAATGTGTATACTGTACGTGTAAGCCTACTAGGATGCAGGGTTTGTACATCGGAAGCATCCCTCCAAAATAAACGTTACATGGTTATTTTTATGTAAAGGATATTGACGAATGCCCATTAACAGAAGCACATTATGTTCTCAGATGAGTGTATATTTCAGTTTGTATTTCAGAGTGCTAAGAGAGTTGTTTAACGAGCTTGCCCAGCCCTTTAAAATCCTGTTCTACAGGTGCATGGACGAGCAACAGATCCCCAGCGATTGAAAACTGGCATACCAGTCTTACAGTATATTCAAACGGAGATCGCACCTTCCCAAATAATTATAGGGCGGTGAACTTGACCAGCCTGGGGGCGAAATTATAATAATAATTACAATGATAATAATATTAAAAATTAATAAAAATAAAAATTATGATAAAAATAAAATAATAATAAAAATCCATACATAAATAAAAAAAAATCGAGTGAGAAACGATATATGCATGTTGTCAATTATAAGAGAAACAATTGAGACCCTGTAATTTTGTGTAAATGAAGCAGAAAGTCAGATCAGCAACCTAACCTAACCTGGGGGCTCCAGAGTCGCTCGACGTTCTGGGTGAGCACTGCTACGTGTGAACGTATAAAATAAAATATTAAATATCTCACTTAAACGCATTTAGCACCGGAAATGTCATTGAAGAAAGGTTACGTAGAATTGTGAAAATTACTAATTGCAACTATTAAAAAAAAAAAAAGATTCGTTTAGTGGCAACAAGTGAAAGATAATTTTTTATACATAAACATATTTTAAAATCTCGCTTATGCGTAATTTGCGTCAGAAATGTTATTGAAGAAAAGTGTTTTAGAATTGTCAAAACTACTGATTGCAACTATAAAATTTCCGATATTCGTTTAGTAGCTACAAGTGAAATAATACACTGAAATATCTGGGTAAGCTATTGACAGACTGCGGCATTATTTTTGGTTTTGCTATTTGAGGTTCGGATAACAAGACATACAAGGGGAGGTCTCGATCGTCACACCTGTCCCACTCGCCCAATATTTCATATTTAAAATTTACCCCATACAGGCGCGGGGGTAGCTTACTAGGCAACCCTTTGCATTCCGTACAATAGACTGGAATTTGGTAAACTCAAATTACTCTACCGGATCCGCAACACCCGAAAATTTGACTTGAAAACCAATAAAACTTTTTGTTTCTGCATTAATTCAGTGCCATGTTTTTTATTTTGCTCATCTTGGTAAAGTGATCTTAAAAAAAAATGGAAGGGTAGGATGCAGGTTATGCAAAACAACATTATAAGATATTATGCTAAATGCTCCCCCCAGAAAACGTGTCGGTTTTGAACTACTGTATTTAGTATAATAATGTTGGGTTACTTCCTGTTGACAACATTTAAAACTCGCCACATGAATATTATTATCAATGGTGGTGCCTCAGAATACCTAAAACTGTGATGCAGAAATGGTTAATAATCAACACATTTGTAGAACAAGGGCACGTGGTGATTGGTGTTATCCCAAGAGTAAATATTCTGGGTAGAGTACTTTCCTGTATACTGTTATTTGCCTGTGGAATGATTACCACTTTTAGTATTTGTCCTGGATTGTTACATCTGTCTTAGATTATTACATGTAAAAATACCTATATTGTCACACCTTCCCATGATCACATTTGCTCTAGGTTGTTACATCTGCCCTACAGTTTCATACCTCCCCTAGATTATCATACGTGTCCTAAAATGTCACATTCATAATTATATCATATACATAATCATACCTATTTGAAATGTACACATACGTCGTAGATTTAGCACATTTACTTATGCTATCGTACCTGATTTTGACGATTCCCTCTGTTCTAAATTAGTCACATTTGGTGATCAGTACACGAGATAAATGTCACCACTTGATCACCAGTATTTCAGATAAGATAACCTAGATGTTTTGACGCGCTAGGCTAGGCGATCATGCATAGTATCGGCGTAGACAGCAACATAAGTAGATTTGCTGATGACACTAAAATAGGGCGTGTAATTAAATCTGACGAGGACTCCGCAAAAGTACAGGAAGATCTAAAAAAAAATTTCGAATGGTCTGAAAAATGGCAGATAAATTCAATGTGGACAAATGTAAAGTACTTAGTCTAGGAGACGTAAACAGAGAAACCAGATATCAGATGAACAACGATGTTTTAGAGAAATCCGAATGTGAGAAAGATTTAGGAGTAATGATAAGTAGGAATCTTAAGCCAAGTAAACAATGAATATTTACTCGAAACAAGGCTGAGGAAGTACTCGGGTTCATACAAAGGAGTGTTAGTTACAAGACTAGAGAGGTCATCCTAAAACTATGTTTTGTGCTTGTGAGACCTCACTTGGATTACCCAGTTCAATTCTGGTCACCGTATTACAGAATGGATATAGAATCCCCAGAAAGAGTTAGAGGAGAATGGTAAGACTAATCCCGGGCATTAGGAACCTTGAGTACAGAGACATGTTAAAGCATCTTAATTTGCACTCCCTCGAGAGACGTAGAGTGAGGGGCGGTATGAGAGAGGTGTATAAATGGAAGTCAGGGCTAAACAAATGGGACATTACAAAGGCACTCAAACTATCCAACAAGGGAGCGAACTCGTAACAATGGTTTTAAATTAGACAAACTTAGATTTAGGCGCGAAATAGGTAAACATTGGTTTGGAAATAGAGTAGTGGATGAATGGAACAAGTTGCAAACATCATCATCAACTCGAATACGCTGGATAGCTTCAAACATAGGTTGGGTGGATATATGAGCAATAGGGGTTGGGTGTAAATAGGACTACCCAGTAAGGGCCAATAGGCCCGCTGCAGTTTCCTCCATTCTTATGTTCCTATGTAAAGAAACGTGATTGTCCTAATGTGATTGTCCTAATTTACTGACGATTGCTCCAGCATTTAGTAATCATACGCCGAAGCCCTTTATATATATATATATATATATATATATATATATATATATATATATATATATATATATATATATATATATATGCACACACATACTTTAACAGCTCGTCGATATTTTAGGTTAAACCGTTAATGACGTATGTATCGAACGTGACGACAATGGTTGGTGTCTGGCTATCGAAGACGCTCGATAAGGTATGTTTACATAAATTAGACTATGGACCCAATGACATATTTTTATCATTCGCGCCTTATTATATATATATATACAGTATATATATATATATATATATATATATATATATATATATATATATATATATATATATATATATATATATATATATATATATATATATATATATATATATATATATATATATATATATATATATATATATATATATATATATATATATATATATATATATATATGCTGCATTAAAAACATCCTCTGATTAGCTGCCTGGTTTTACAAAATGATCTGCCAATTTTGCTGATAAGCTCTCTCGAACTGCTTTCTTGTGCTTGTCTGCTACATAAGATTATAAATCATTTGCGCCTTTATTTGCCATAAAGACGTAAGTACCAGTTCTATATACCAAGCACTCAGCTTCCCATTTACACTTTCGTTTTGGCATTGTGTGTAGGGATAACAAAATATCAAATAAAGATCTCTTGAAGAAACGTGTACACAGTACGGACTCGAGTAAAACACTGAAATTAGCGCCGTCCAGGACACGCTCTCCTCGAATGATCAACACTTCTCGAATGTTCAATTTCTTTCTCCTAGGAGCCAATGAAAATTATATTATTATTGGTCAATTTCGCACCGAAAACCTTTGGGGCAAAATAATAAGAGTAAAATCCCGGACGTTTTAAACTTTAAAAAAATCTCCCGGACGGAGATTTAAGGACCAATAAGGACATGTTTTGAATTATAGAATGTGTGAAATAACAGAGTATTTGTAAATTTGTTGGTATGTCAGGTTGGACTTTTATGTGTAAATTATTTTGGTTGTAAATATAACCGCAGCCTTCCTCTGGCTTACCCGTCAGGTACAACAGGAAGGAAAATTTGGGGGTCATCTGCCAGGCTCTCCAGGAAGACTTCAACATCCGCGCCAACGCCACCCACCGTGATGACATCATTGTTGGCCAGGACTTTAAGGTACCGTTTACCCAAGTATAATATAATGATAAGTTGCTTCCTACACTGTTGACGTATATACAAATTTGAGTGAGGGAAGTGCCAGGATTATAGCTGTGGCCAATATGAGTATAAAACCCATTGTAACACTTATTTTAAGTTTGGTTTTGGTTCCATCCATAATTTACTGAATGCAGTATGCATACATTATTTCCTTATATATTGATATATCCAGTGCCGGATTTAGCTCTGTGGAGGCCCCCCTCATTATAACTACCCAAGAGGGTGGGGTGGCGAGTGAAGCGAGCCTAAACATCTGGGAGTTTCGGAAGGCGCTGTAAGCCCCCCGGGAAAATTTTGAAATTTGAACACTTTCTTTGGAGAATTTTGAAGCCATATGCAGTTATATTGAGGAAAGTAGAACATTGAGAAATTTTTAATTCACTGTATATTTATTGATAGTGTACAAATTCCCAACACACACACAAAAGTGAGACATGACTGGAGTCATTCATGTGGTCACTAGCGTAGCTAGGGGGGGGCGGGGCGGTCCGCCCCGGGCGGCACTTTTGGTTCTGCTCATCACCCATATCTGCAGCTACTGGAGACGTTAATCCATCCCTTTGTATCGGCGGCAAGTTAATCCTTGTCGTGTCTGACCTAACACCTGACCCACATCATCACGGCCACGTCATGAGCTACGTACACCCTTGCTATGCGCCCCCCCCCCCCACACACACAACCTGTAACCTGTTGAGGATTAAGGAAACAACTTCAAACAAGTACGCCAGTGAGCTCATGTGGTGTGGGTCAGGTGTTAGGTCAGACACGACGAGGATTAACTTGCCGCCGATACAAAGGGAAGGATTAACGTCTCCAGTAGCTGCAAAACCATGCAGTCTCGGGTCATATCAGTTCATGTACAGCCGACCAATCCACCAGTTACAAGCAATTCACTTCAGTTCTGCACAAGTCTCCATCGTGACAAGACGAGGGGAGGCTAGACGACTTTTAAGTTCTCTTGTGTTTTCGATCCAGTTATTTACTTCGTTGGAAGACATAATACTATAAGGTAAGAAATATTAAAGTATTGGTTAAAAAATATTGATGTGACTTTTGCTGCGGTACTGAGATTAAATATTAAGATTTTGTTTCACAGCATTGCGATTTTATACTAAGACACTATCCTCACTGGGGTACAGACAAAAGCCCCCCCGACAAAAGCCCCCCAGACGAAAGCCACCCAGACAAAAGCCCCCTACTTTGATCGGGGTGGCTTTTGTCTGACAACAGTAAGGCAAACTATTTAATATATATATAAAAGAGTGAGTCACTGTGCAATATGTATTTTTTGTAGGGTCACGGGGGGGCAAACTCAAGGGCCGCCCCGGGCGGCACACACTCTAGCTACGCCACTGCATGTGGTTTTAAGTCGACCAGCCCTGATATAGCTACTACCGCACATGTGGAGGCCCCTGGACAGCTGCCCACTTTGCCCACTCCTGAATCCGGCCCTGGATATATCAGTCTTCATTGCAATAGATATAGTGGCATTTTATTTGAGAAGTTGCAAGACGGGTTAAGCTAGTTTAAAAAGAAGTAATATTCCTGGTATTTATTAAGGTAAAGTTGCATTAACCATTGACTTCTTCATTACTCTCATCCGAGCAGTTGTGCTCTGTAGAACAATCTGAAGTTTTAGTTTTAGTAAATGCATTACTGTCTCAGGGTTTTGAATTACCAAGTAGTCACATGCGATCTTCCTGACAAACTGGTTGCGCTAACCCAACACAGTGGAACGCTGTGATCCCCAGGCATGAACCCCATGAAACATTTCTTTCTTTAATTTTTTGTGTAACAGACGTAACAGACGTGACCGATCGCCCAGGTGGCTAACGAGCCAATCAGTGGCGAAGAGGATAAAAGTAAAAGTAAAAAGTATAAAACTATCCCATATTCCCAGTGAAGCTTCCATGCTGTTTTGTTTATTATTTGTGTATTATTTGTTAACATTTTCATTAATGCTTGCTTGAGATAAATTTTGAAAGTTTTTTAAAGGCTCTGTCTAATAAGTAGATTAGTAAAAAGGAAAATGAAAAAACTTGATGACTGGCAAGAAAGAAGAGTTGGCTTCAGTGAACTACTACTTTTGTTTTGTTTTATCCTCTTCACCACTGATCAGCTCGTTAGCCACTTGGGCGATCGGTCACGTCTGCTACTTTTCCTTTTCTTTTATCCTCTTCACCAAATGATCGGCTCGTTAGCCGCTTGGGCGATCGGTCACGTCTGCTACTTTTCCTTTTCTTTTATCCTCTTCACCAAATGATCAGCTCGTTAGCCGCTTGGGCGATCGGTCACGTCTGCTACTTTTCCTTTTCTTTTATCCTCTTCACCAAATGATCGGCTCGTTAGCTGCTTGGGCGATCGGTCACATCTCTGTTACAAGGTCTTTGTGCGACGAGTTTCCCGTTCTAGATTTTTTATTTTTTACTTTTTTACTTACCGGGATTTTTATTATTTCTTTCAGTAGTTTGTTGTGCTTGTATAATTTAGATACTTTCGTTCAAAAGAACTTATAAAATACAATATATTCCAAACTAAGATAAATGAATGTTCCCGAAATACCTTAGTTAACACCTGCTTTTTTTTTCTTCGCTGTGATGACGTAGGGCAGGGGTTTTCAAACTATGGGTCCCGACCCTTCAGTGGGTCGCGAAATAAATAAATTGGGTCGCAAAGTAAAAATGGGTCGCGAAAATAAATAAGAAAATAAAAATAAATGCACCATAATTTAGGCTTGGTTATTGTAATGTACACTCCACAGTCAAGGAAGCGACTGCAAGGAGAGCATTTCCTGATTCTTTACCTCTCGTGTCATCCGTTTTGCGCAGAAAAACTAGTAATCGTAGTTTTTCACCCCGTAATCTAACCTAAGCTCATTTCATATCATTACACTTGGGTTTAATGGGTCGCAATTCAAATCTGGCTGTGGGTCGCAGTAAAAAACGTTTGAAAAACATTGACGTAGGGAATGGTGACGTTCAGGGGAGTTGGACTGGTACGTGTGCTAGGCGTGGAGCATACACTGCTTGTAGAGCATAAACTGGTTGTATAGTATACACTGAGTATAGAACATGCTGGACATGGATCATACACTAAGCATGGGACATACACTAGGTATGGAGCATGCGCTGGACATGGAACACACTTTGGGCATGTAACTGGAGCACACACTGGGGCTCACATTAGGAGTGGAGCTTACATTGGGCATGGAGCAGTGTGGAGTTACACTGGCAACTCTCTTTATGTCTTCAAAGCTATGGTGCCACAGTTTATGAGATACAACTATACTAGGTAGTAGGCAGCTATCAAACAGGGAGGTACTACCGCCTGGGAAGATATTGGATGCATAATTTATTGTCTAATGGTAGACCCTGCTACCGTATGGCATTACGAAAATTGCGACCAAGTCCCAGGTTGCTGATCTATCTTTCTGCCTCATTTACACACAATTGCAGGGTCTCAATTGTCTCTCTTACTATTGACAACACAACAAATATAACCTTACTCATTCTTGATCTGTTTTATTCATTCTACGTATTTTATTCTATGTCAGTTGATATTAATATTGAAGTGGGGCCTTCTCAGATGGGTCCCATTGGTCAGGAAGGTTGTGGACCCTAGGGCCGACCTGATCATCATCAAGTTACTGGGGCCTCAACTGACGCCACCGCAGTTGCTGGAGGATCGGCTTTTTTCACACTTCATTTTTCCAACATTCACAGCCTGAGATTCAATTTTCCTTCTGTGGAGCACCATCTATTAACCTCTTCCTCCGACCTCTTACTACTTTACGAACTTTAACTGTCCAAAGCAGCTTCACCCAAACCTTTTCAAGTCTCCAACTACAACCTTTATACTTCCTTCTGTTCTAAGGGAGGTGTATGCGCTTACTGCAACACACATACACCCATAGCTCGACTCACGGATCTTGAATCTTCCCTTTATGATGTCATCTGGCTCAAAATATCTTTACCAACTGTGACTATTTTTCTTTGCTTCCTATACTGTTCTCCCAACTCTACCAACTATTTCAAACTCTAACTGTCTCACTTCTTGCCATGAGCTGTTGCTATTCACACACCCCAACACCGAGATCCTCTACCTAGGGGATTTCAATGTACTGTACATCACAGACAGTGGCTTGGCTCTGCAAGGGACGACGCAGGTACTCTTTTTCCCTACCTAATGATTTGGAACAAATAATCATACACCCTACACGCGTTCCTGATCGACACAATCAACTTGCTATCATTCCTGATCTTTGTTTTACCTCTAACCCCTCACACTATTCATACTCAATTTCTGCCCCCTTACGGTCTTCTGATCACAATCTTATTTCTGTTAAATCAAACTGGGCACGACCACCTCCCCAACCCCCCTCTAAATGTCAACTATGGCACTATCGGAGGGCAAGTTGGCAATCCTTGCGAGAATTCTTCACCGACTTTCCTTGGGATGAATGTTGCTTTTCCACTCGGGACGCCTCGGTATGTGCTGACAGCATTGCTGGGATTATATAGGGTGGTATGAGTGCATTTATCCCATCTTCTAACAAAATTTTCACATTACAATCTTGGTTTGATCGCTCCTGCTCTCTTTCATGCAGGATGGGAGATTGGGCATATATATTGCTATGAAACTATCTCCTTCGCCTATTACCGACACTTCTTTCATTACTTCTATGAATCGTTGTAAGGCTATTCTTCGTAGGGCCAAACGGAATTTTATAAAAAGAAAGACCGGTCCTGACTTATTCTTCCTCTAGTAAATCCTTCTGGTCCTTAACCAAAAACATCTGTAATAACTTCTGCACTCCTTTTCCTCCTCTTTTCCGACCTGATAACTCTATAGCCAACTCTCCCCCTGACAAAGTCAATCTCTTTGGCACCTTAATCTCCTCTAATTCCACCTTAGATGATTCCCACTCTATCCTTCTTACCCCTGCCTCTCCTACTGAA